GCAAAAAGGAAAGAAGACTGGCAGAGCAGAGCGCAAAATGGGCCACAAGAGAGAGAGAGAGAGAGAGAGAGACAGCAGGTGAAGGAGCAGAGCCGATGGGGGGATGAGGTCAAAGCAGAGTGTGGGCAGAGGGAGGGAACCGAGAGAGACATGCAGAACAAAGCCAAAGCAAAACACTTCAAACGCAAATTTCGGCAGAAATCTGCACCCATCAACGATATTCCACGTCCTCGTCATCGTTCGCTCGCCTGCTCGCTGATACAAAAGGCCAAGACACGAGCTCGAGTGCCTGTCTACCGGGCGAAGGCAGGCTGGGTCAGGGCGGGGAGTAGATGGGAGGAAAGACGAAAACTTGGCTGAAGTTGGGAGTCTGCTGTTTTTTTTTTCCTTCTTGTTTTGAATGGCTATGCAAAATGAATTTTGAGCTTTAATTTGCTGCTTTCGCTGTGCACTTCCTTTCATTGCTCCCGCCGTCGCTGTTGCTGATCCAGGCCCCTCGGCTGGCTCCTCTCATGTGTCAATCTGGTACGAGAGGTTCAGTGTTCGTTCATTCTTTGGCTCTATTGTTCCATCTGCAAACTCATTGCGCGTCCTTTGTTTGGCTCACTGGCATTTGAATTGCCTTTAATGAGGCATCTTTTTGGCAACCCTTTGAACCCTTCCCGCTTCCCGCTTCCCCCTTTTCACATTCTTTCTCATCAATTCTTTCTCACTCTGTTTCTTTCTTTCCCAACTTGCAGCTCAACGCAGTCCGGTGCGCTATTCCATATACTCGGGCGATCCGGATGGCTACTTTAGCATTGAGCCCGCCTCGGGCAACATACGGATTGCCCGCCCGCTGGACCACGAGGCCAAGGCGCAGGTTCTGCTGAACATACAGGCGACCAGCGGCGACCCGCCCGTCTATGGCCACACGCAGGTCAACATCGAGGTGGAGGACGTCAATGACAATGCGCCGGAGTTCGAGACGAGCATGGTGCGCATCTCGGTGCCCGAGAATGCCGAGCTGGGCACACCGCTGTTCGCCGCCCACGCCCACGACAAGGACTCGGGCAGCAGCGGGCAGGTGACCTACAGCATTACGGGCAATGCCAATGCCACCCAGCCGGGCCGCGACAAGGCGCAGCCAACGGGCGCTGCCCTCTTCGCTATCGATGCACGCTCGGGCCACCTGGTGCTATCACGACATCTGGACTACGAGACCGCGCAGCGGCATTCGCTAATTGTGACGGCCACCGATGGCGGACTGCCGCCTCTCTCGGCGGATCTCACCATACTCGTCGACGTGCAGGATGTCAACGACAATCCGCCCGTCTTCGAGCGCGACGAATATGCGGTGAATGTGTCCGAATCGCGGCCCATTAATTCACAGGTAAGACTCACAGCTTGTTGGCCCTGCACTTGGGAAAAAAGTCTAGTAGGAATAGAAATCTAGATAAATTTCAATTGTTTTTGATATAATAATATCATAAGAGGAGATGATACTTAAATGGGAACCTTAGGAAAAAATTAAAGACGAAGAAGAAGCACAAATAAATATCTACTAGAAAGTTTTAAAACAAAATTGTAAAAAAAAAAAACTAAAAGGAAATTACGTTAAAGGATATAACTTCTAGAAGGCGATTTACGATTTATTCTAAAGAAAATTTTTTAAAAGGAAATTATGTTTAAAACAAAAAAAAATCGAATAAAAATAAAATATAAACATCTAAAAAACATAAAAATATTCTATGTAAAATGATATTATATTGAAAAATATATATCCTTTAGAAATCTAATGAGAAAATTCTCACATGCAAATATTAAGTCAGACAGTCTATAATTTATAGCGAAAGTACGGTTAAAGTAAAGGCATTTTCTATAACTATGATTGGGTTTTCTATAGCAGCAGATGCCAGCCACGTTCGGCTGCCTGAAGTTTTATTGAAAAATAAATTTTTGTAATGCAAACTAAATGCGCAACATAAATTTGATTAACAGCCCGTAAAAGTCACGCTTTTGTCAGGCAGGCGTCATATCTTTTTTAAAATATCTCAACACCCCAGAGAAGATGCTGCGGTTGCTGTTGCTGCTGCATCCACTGCTGTGTCCAGGCCGGTTGCATGCGGCATGCGGCATGCTGCCTGTTGAACTAGTTTTGATCATAAAATCACTTTATATCTTTTGGCATCACGAGGCTGAAACGAGTTGCTGCAGTTCTAGGGATTCCTCTAGAGATTTACGCAGACATGCATCAGAGATCCCAATGCCGCCGCTTCAGTGGATGATTGATGACCGCCAGCCGTGTTTGGCATGTAGATCTCTTTTCCTCTTGCTCCTTTGAGACTCTCCCCGTCTCTGTCGCTCTGCATCTCTGGCTGCTCCAAATTAACGCAAACTCTCTCAACTCTCTTTGTTGCAGATCATCCAGGTGAATGCCAGCGATCTCGACACGGGCAACAACGCACGCATCACCTATCGCATCGTGGACGCGGGCGCGGATAATGCCAGCCAGAGCCTGGCGAACGCTGGCGGCCCGGACGCCGATCTTGCCCAGCATTTCGGCATATTTCCCAACTCCGGCTGGATCTATCTGCGTGCGGCACTCGATCGAGAGAGCCGCGATCGCTATGAGCTGACCGTCCTGGCCACCGACAACGGCACGCCGGCGGCGCATGCGCGCGCCCGTGTGCTGGTCCGCGTGCTGGATGCCAACGATAATGATCCGAAGTTCCAGCGCGAGAGCTACGAGTTTCGCATCGAGGAGAATCTGCGACGCGGCGCCGTTGTGGGCGTTGTCAGTGCCAGCGATGCGGATCTGGGCGAGAATGCGGCCATACGCTACAGCCTGCTGCCAGCCAATTCCAGCTTTCAGGTGCATCCCGTCACAGGTGAGTCGACGCATCCTCTTGCCATAAATTAGTGCTCGCAATGTTCGCGATGTTCGCGCTGCGCGGTAGCCGCCAATCCACAAAATGTCGCAGCCCGAACAGCTCACTCAACGCCGTTAGAGTTCGTGTCCGAGCAGAAGCCACTGTCAAGCCAGCAGCCATGACCCATGGTCATTCATTACTGCTCCACTTGGCTGTCGCTTCTGCACTGCTCCTTGCCATTGCCCACGTCGCCCATAGATCAAACGCGCACGAGCAAACGGAAACCAGTTCCCCATACGGGGACGACGACGGCGCTGCTGCTGCTGCTGCTGCTGACGATGGGGCAAGCGATAAAATGCGATCTGTTTGAGATATGGCTAGATGGCCAGTTAGATGGCTAGATGGGTAGATGGCGCAGCCGGCAGCCAACTATCTCGGCTGCAGGCCAGGAGCAGCGCATGACCATTAGTGTTTGAGCAACAACAGTTTTAACGCTGTCAGCTCATCCGTCAATGGAATATCATTGGGTTGACATTTTGCAGGCCAATGTGCATATGTGTGTGTGCGTGTGTGTGTGCGTGTCCGCTCTAGGGGCCTGACTGGCAAAGGAGCCACAGTCAGCGTCTCGCTTCATTTAAATTAAATATGGAGATCGCGTGCTGCTAATCCTGCCAGCAGCCGCAGCAGCCGCAGCAGCAGCAGCAGTAACAACAGAGGCTCTGGCAAACTCGTTTTTCCTGACATGATTTTCTTTTGGCCGCCACGCTGCCAGGCATGACATTTTGATGGCAATAGGCGGAGGCACCACCAGCACCACTGGCACACCACCAGCCAACACTTTGGCATTAATCATCTGCGACCCAGTTACGAGCCACATTTTCAAAACCAATCAACAATTGTTAGCGGTAGCTCTCACTCTCTATCTCGCTCTCTCGCTTTCTCTCTCTCTTTCTCGGTCTCTAGATCTCTAGATTAAGAGTGAGCTCTCATGAGAACTTTAAAATTTCGGAACTTATCTTGTTTGCAATTCATTTGTTTTTCAATCTAATATCTCTGCTAATAACTAAATAGCTCCGATTCTTTATAGAGTATTCCATATTCCAACATTTTCATATCCCATTGACACTTGATTAATTACTAAACTAAAATGCTTGGCCTCTTCCCTTCTAATTGCAGGCGAGATAAGCACACGCGAGCCGCTGGATCGGGAGCTGCGCGAACTGTACGATCTGATGGTGGAGGCAAGGGATCAGGGCACGCCGATGCGCAGTGCCCGGGCACCGGTGCGTGTGCATGTGACAGATGTGAATGACAATGCGCCGGAGATAGCCGATCCGCAGGAGGATGTGGTTAGCGTGCGCGAGGAGCAGCCACCGGGCACCGAGGTGGTGCGCATACGCGCCATCGATCGCGATCACGGCCAGAATGCATCCATCAACTATTCGCTGCTGAAGGGTCGTGACTCGGATGGGCATGGCCTGTTCAGCATTGATGCCAACACTGGCGTGATTCGCACTCGCGTCGTCCTCGACCACGAGGAGCGCAGCATCTATCGCCTGGCGGTGGCCGCCACCGATGGCGGCAATCCGCCCAAGCAGACGCTGCGAATGCTGCGCGTCGAGGTGCTCGATCTGAATGACAATCGGCCGACGTTCACCAGCTCCAGTCTGGTCTTCAGGGTGAGTGAGAGATTTATGGGCGGGTCACTTGCCCAGCGGCCACAGCGGAGGGCAGAGGCAGTGGCAGTGCAGAGGTAGAGCAGGTTTCTTCCAGGTGGTTCCAGGAAAACTTTTGTCTATTTGACGCTTCTAGTTTTACACGAAGTCCCTCCAGCTTGGCTCGTTTGATTTCCTGCTTCTTTTTCCACAACAGTCGTGATCAGCGCGTTTGTCGCCTGCCTTTTGTGCGGATGATTTGTAGCATCGGGCGTCACGTGACAATGGCCAAGAACACGATTCCCCAGCCTCGGAAACAGACATCAGCGCGCCCCGACTCTGGCCTGTCGGGCGGCTCAGGGTGGTCAGCGCGGGTGCGAGTGCTGCAAACTCTTCCTGATTTGCATTCCCAGTGCTGGCGCATTGAGGGGCGGCAGGCAGCGAGGGGCACTTGAAGGCAACAACATCTTTCTTGACTCTCGTTATTCATGGCGCACGCGTAATTGTCACTCTGTGAACTGTGACTGCAGTCCCGCTGCACTCAGCTTTCCCGCTTTCCCATTAACTGCAATTCGTAACCGTCAACTGAGCATTATAATGGATATGCCTAATACCGAATGCTTTAACTGCCTGTGAAAATATGAAAAGCATACAAGGCGAATCGACATGCACTTAGCTAAACAGGGAATGTCGAATCGAGATATTTAAGGACTGTTAGGATCAGTTTGTACAATGCTTTACATACAATTTATATTCTAAATGGAAACTGAATAAAATGAGGCTAATTATATTATCTTTGGCAACATTTAAAATTGCTGAGATCTTAAAATATGTAAATCACAAATATTTCATATTTACTTAATCAATTTATTCAATTGAATTTAATTACTTAATTCATTACATTTAAAAACTTAATATATCGGAGAAATGTTATTCAATTTGTTTCAATATAAATATTAATTAACTAAATTTAATTGAATCATTTTGATGGGCCACGAAAGTATAATATAGGAAAAAACTTTAATGAAAAAAAAAAAAAAGAAACCTATGCTGCGAATATATTCTTTAATTCGATCTAGTCAAGTTTCATATATAGTATTTGACGTAGATGTTTTGTGGAATGGAACAAAGTTATATAGTATGTATATCATCTATAGTAATTTGATTTGCCCAACTTATGTTTAAATAGCATTTACCACCAAAAGGAATATCAGTTCGAAGACATATCCATTAGAAACTTTTTATTATGTATATTATGTTGGGAATTCACATTAATTAATGGGTGTAAATTTTGTATTTGAATATTTAGCTTAAAATTTTCAGCGCTTTTGTGCCCTTTGAAATTCTGTTTTAGAGCCCTCTTAACTGCAAGTGTATTCATCATTCGTTGATTCTCTCTCTCTTTCTCCCTCTCTCTCTCTCTCCCGCTCTCGCTCTGCCTCTAAACTTTAGTGTTTTCTTGTTTCTTCGCGCTGTTTAGATTTCGGCATTTTACTGTAGCAGTTAAAAACGATGCGACTCTTAACATTTTTATCACGTTCGATTCGCACATGTTTTGCATACCCTGCACATTATTGCATACACATGCCTATCTGCAATCCAGCACCAACCATTCYCATTCCCATTCCCATTGCCAGAGACCCTCAGAGCCGCCTGCGCATGTTTGCTTCATCCTTCATCCAGTTGCTGTTGCCGCATTTCCGACACTCTGCTGGACGAGGACGAAAAGCCGAGTCTGATGGCTGCGACGCTTTGACATGCATTTAATTGCCTCTCGCCTCTCTCTGTCTCACTCTATCTCCCTCTTGCTAAGTAACCATACAGATATCCCGCTCTCGCTCTAGCTCTCACTCTGTCTGTGGTCTGTCAGTCAGCTGACCCTGTGCGTCCGGCCGCGGTTCGCCTTTTAAATCCGCTTCGGCAACAATTAAAATTGACACATTTCGTTGCGTTTCGTTGGCGGTTGCCTTTGATTCCGTGCTTTGTCCTCAACTGCATCTGCATTCTTCTCGCTTTGTTCTTATGCGTTGGCGTTGACCAGGCAGTTAAAAAGCTGGCGGAAGAGCTGCAGGAGTGGGAACAGCCTGATTGGCTTGGGCTGTTGGCCTGTTTGGCGGCTCACAAACAAATCGAGCTCTGGTTTGAGCTCGCTGCAGTCAGCATATAATATGCATCTTTGTAATTAAGCAATTTCAGCCACCCTGCATGTTGCTGCACCACCACCACCACAACCACAGCCAGCAGCACCACGACTCGCTCTCATGCTTGGCCTACAGTCAGCTATAAAAGTACACAACAAATCATGCGCCATTTTGGCAGTGTCCATTTTTGCAGCAATATTGCCTTGCATAATTTGGTGGTCAGCCGCAGTCATAGCAGTAGTCGTTAGCCAAACCAAAGAGCACCACTAAAATCAGCAGCAGCAGCAGCAGCAGCAGTGGCAGTGGCAGCCGCACCACCAGCACCACAGTCAGCAGCAGTCGACAGACCTTCTTCCTGCGTAATCTTGGCTGCGGCATAAATCTCGTGACTGTCATTTTTGTGTCTCCATTTTGGCGACCCAAACAATATTTTCAATGTATATTATGAAAAAAAAGAAGAAGATGCACACACATACACACACATACACTGCGAGCTGAGCCCTGCCGAGGAGGCAAACAACGCAAAACCTTTTTTGTTTTTATGCTGCGAAACGGTTTTTGCGGTTTTGCATATTAAATTCTTATATGCGAGGAGTTGCTGCTGCACCACCACACAAACACAGACACACAACATATAGCATACCACCACACATCCCCCCTGCCCCTCGCTGGCCGTCAACCTGCAATTCGGCTCACATTTTTCTTCAGTGATTTTCGGGGCCGCCAACTTGGTCGGAATGCATAATTTCTTTTTAATGCCATTGCCAATGCCTTGGCCATGGCCAAAGCCAGGCACTTGGTGGTTTCGTAGCACCGTCCCCCCTCTATCCGCTCTGTCCAACAAAGCGTTTGGCCTGAGAAGCAGCAGCAGCAGCAGCAGCAATCGACATCGAGCGTTGTTTTTGGGGGAATGAAATTTTTAAATGTTTGCTGCCTTCGTAATCTTGAAGTATGAATTATTGCTTTAAGATTGGATTTTCAACACTGTTGTTGAGATTAAGATACCCCGGCCCAGACCAGACCAGACGAGACCAGGCCAGGCCAGGCCAGGCACCGCGTCGCAGTCAAGTAGAGCGTCCTCCGCTCGCGCCCTCCCTTGCCCACTCTCTTAATGCCCCAAACAGCAAATAATCTATAATTGCCTTTGCCGCATTTATTTACTCCTTATTTATTCTTTTCTTTCGATTTTTTTCCCGCAGGTACGCGAGGATGCGACCGTGGGCCATGTCGTGGGCTCGATTAGCCCCAATGAGCGCGCGGAGCTGCCGCCAGTTAGCAGCAACAGCCTGGATGAGCTGAACGATCCACTGTGCGTCACATACACCTTGAACCCGCTGACCAAGGACCTGATCGAGGGTGCCTTCGACATAGACAGGAACACGGGCAATCTGGTGGTGGCCCGCCAGCTGGACCGCGAGCTACAGACGGAGTTCCGGCTAGAGATACGCGCTCTGGACACCTCGGCTAGCAACAATCCGCAGAGCAGCGCGATCACCGTCAAGATCGAGGTGGCCGATGTCAATGACAATGCGCCCCGCTGGCCGCTCGATCCGATCGAGCTGCAGGTGAGCGAATCACTGCCCGTGGGCGCCATCATACACAACTTCACGGCCACCGACGCGGACTCCGGCACCAACGGGGAGCTGCAGTACCGCCTGCTGCGCTACTCGCCCCAGCTGAACGAGAGCCTGGAGAGGGCGACGCCGCTGTTCGCGCTGGACTCGTTGACGGGCTCGTTGAGCCTGCAGGCGCCACTGGACTATGAGTCGCTGCAGGAGTATTTGCTCATTGTGCAGGCACTGGATCAGTCCTCCAATGTTACGGAACGACTGCAGACCTCGGTCACGGTGCGCCTGCGCATCCTGGATGCCAACGACAATGCGCCGCAGTTTGTGGTGCCCAGCACCAGTGGTGCCAGTGGTGCAGGTGGTGCAGGTGGTGCTGCCACAGTGTATGTGAGCGATGCCACACGCATTGGCGAAATGGTCACGCATATTGTGGCCGTGGATCGGGATGCTGGCGAGAACGGGCGCATCAGCTACGACATTGTCAGCGGCAACGGCGAGGGACGCTTTCGCATCAAGCCCCAGTCGGGCATCATTGAGCTGGCCAAGACGCTGCCACCTGCCTCCGAGCAGCTGGACAAGACTGGCCGATTCACACTGACCATCCGTGCCAGCGACCATGGCGCTCCCTCACCACAGCACACGACGCTCAGCCTTCAGCTGCTGGTGCAGGGCAGCCACAGCAATCCGCCCCGATTTCTGCAGGCCGTTTACGAGGCGACCATCCTGGAGAATGTGCCCAGCGGCAGCTTCGTGCTGCAGGTAGCCGCCAAAGCCTTTCATGGAGCCGACAGTGGTAAGCAGACTTGTAGAATTAAATATGCTATGGAATAAGTATTAACTAATTATTAAATTGTGGAAGGAAAACTGATTCATCACTCATTAACGATTAGGACTTCAGATCAGTCGCACTTTGACTTTACACCTCTAATTTTGCTTTCACTAATGTCCCACTGAAATCCAATCTCCCATCCACAACAGCGAATCTCAGTTATGAAATACCCAATGGTGTAGCGGACAACCATTTCCATGTGGACTGGCAGCGCGGCATTGTGACGACGCGTGGCCAATTCGATCGTGAGACGCAGTCCCGTTACACGTTGCCCATTTACGTGCGTGATGCCAATCGCATGAGTGCCACGCCCACCTCTGCCATACGCAAACAACGCTCCTCGGAGAGCAGCGCGGAGCCGGCAACGGGCCAGCACTTTGACGTGGCCACACTCATCATCAGCATTGGCGACATCAATGACAATGCACCGGAGTTCCGGCCGGGCTCCTGCTACGGGCTCTCCGTTCCGGAGAACAGCGAATCGTCCGTCATTCACACGGTGGTCGCCAGCGACCTGGACGAAGGCGCCAATGCAGAGATCGTGTACAGCATTATTGGTGCGTATATCCTAATAAATTTCGGAATGAACTCGACTCTAATTCGAGCTATTCTCCTTCCGATTTCTTTCTACGACAGGCGGCAATCTGGGCAATAAGTTCAGCATTGATGCGCGGACAGGCGAGCTGAGCGCACGGCCCTTGGATCGGGAGCAGCACGCTCGGTACACGCTGCAGCTGCAGGCCTCGGATCGCGGCCAGCCCATCACCCATCAGGGTCATTGCAACATCAGCGTCTTCGTGGAAGATCAGAATGACAATGAGCCGCGCTTCGACCAGCCCAAATACGTGGCCAGTGTGCCGGAGAATGCGGCCATCGGCAGCAGCGTGCTGCGCATCAATGCCCGCGATGCCGACCTGGGTGTGAACTCCAAGTTGGTTTACTCCCTGGCCAATGAGACGCAATGGCAGTTTGCTATCGACGGAACCAGCGGACTCATCACCACTGTCGGGTAAGTCTACAAATGCCGAAAGATATACAGATTACCCTAACAAAATGCCGAGGTAAAGTCCGCCTCAGACTAGGTAGCGCCACATCGAATTGAGGCTTTAGACTTTAGCTAAGGGGATATTTGTCTTGGGTCAATGCAGTGCAACATCTTATCTGCTAGCTAGATCTCGGCGCAAGGACAATGCCAGTGAAACATTGAAATACTTAATTTCCTCAATAACAAGGCGAACTAATGCGACTGCGATTGCGAATCCCCAACTACGACTACGACTACGACTACGACAAGTAGACAACATCCTACGCAACGAAAATCCGGTAAAACCCTCCGCAGCAGCTATAAATAGCATTGGGCCTTGTAGCTGCATATATAAGTGTGTGTGTGTGTGTGTACGCAGAAAAAGGATTGGCTCTACTTTTTTGCTACTTCGCAGAGCTGGCTGGCTTATAAGGTCGGACCTGGAGCTGGTCTCGCTGCTCTCTGTACTTGAGGGCCCCCTCTGGTGCAAATTTATGCTTATTGACAATCAATGATGACAACAATTGCTTGTTCCGTCTGATGCCCAGAGAGAGTGTGTGTGTGTGTGTGTGAGAGAGAGAGAGAGAGAGACGGGTCGAGTCGGGGTGCTACAATTGCGTTACTAGCGCTCAGTTCCGGCCTGAAGTGCAGCCAGATCCTACTCGATTCAATTCGAAGCTCTTCTGTTCGCTTTGATGCATTGCCCCCGATGCCTTTCTAGATTTGGGTTTAGCTTTAGCCTTTTAGCACTGGGAGCACTTGAGTTGACAGTAGCGTCAGTGTTTGCCATTTATACAAACGCGATCCGCTGTCATGTACCAATTTTTATCTTGCGCTGATTGTCGGCAAACAATAAAAACGAAAAACCCCGCCAACCAGCAAGCCCAACCAACAACAGAAACTCTGAAGGAAAAAAAATTCAGGAAAAAAAAAATACAGGCAACCCAGCCAAAGCGAACCAAAAGTCGGAAAACAACGATGAGAACTGAGAGCAGCACCACATGGCGAGGTAGAAGAATTGTAGAGCGACAGTCAAGAGTGGACAGCGCGGACAGACAGACGGTAAGACAGATGGACAGACGTGCAGCCTGGACAGACATTTCGTGACGTTGTTGTTAGTCTTGGATCGCTTTCGCGGTCGCGCTC